CGGCGCACCCTGAAGGCCGTAGGCTCATCTTGAAGCACTTCCAGGTGCGAATAACATCAACCGCAATTACGCGCAAGCCATACAACCAAACGGAATTGCTCGCGTACACATCTTTGGTTATTTCCGGTAGCTCTCAACACATACCTTGACACTCGGAGAGGCTCAATCCCATTGTATACAACACAGCAAGTCCGCAACATAACAGTCGAAACCCTGCATGTGAACATCATGAGTGTTTGGGGTCTTCTTGACTGCGCGCCTGAACGTCAGAAGGGCTTTCAACATGACCACTTGAAGGAGAGAACTGCTTGTCATCCTCTATCCAAAGCTTCCACAGCGGGTTTGCTAGTTGGCTGTCTTTAGACGCGTGGTTAAGAATGGCCCTCTTCAGCTCAATTACTTCCTCAAGTGCCGGGCGTCTTGCTTGCTTATATATTGACAGTGCCGCACTCAGTCGATTGACCAAATTGTTCAGTATTTTTGATTTGGGCCTCCTTGAGTCCTCAGGGAAAAAGTAATCCGTGCGGAACCTCTGCACAAACGCAGGCCACCAGCTGCCGGCATCCATATGGTCACCCAGGAGCTTGATTGTGCAGACCAGGTAGTCAAACGCCATAAACAGAGCCGACAGTCTCATAAGAAGGTGGCCCGCTGTGCACTTCCTGCATGGTCGTGCCAGTTTGGCTACCGCATATTTCGCCAGGTAGTCGGCGTTCACCATGAGTGTGCTAACGTCTTCAGCCGTCAGGGAATCCTTGGCAAACAGGCTTCGCATTTTCATGTATGCTTCCATGGGTGTAGTAACGCCTAAATCGAACGACAGTACAAGAGCACCGTTATACCTTAGGTGGACATCCTCCAGATTTACAGCCGGCAGCCGCACAAAAGGATGGCAACGAATGTCCTTAGCCCCGAAGGGTTCCCCGTCTCCACTAGTGGTTGCCTGCGCAACCGCATCAGATTCTGACATCTCCACCGTATCCGAAGTATCAGCGAAGGCTTCGTCTGGCTGCCGCATCTGTTGCGCTGCTGCCATTTGAGTTGATTGCCCTTCACCCT